AGAATTAGAATCTTGATCTCTTACTTAGCATTATGCACTTACTATTAGTAGCAATCAATTATATATGAAAAATCAAACCCTTTCTTTTAAAAATTCTTTTGGTCCTCTTTTTTGTCGTGTTTGTGAATGATGTACAAACTAATGTTAATTAATTTGCAAGAATTTATTTGTTTTTCCATTTGTTGATGTGGTGGGCAAGAATCAATTTCCATGTAAGAAAAAGTGACACAAAGTAACGAGGGCATACATGTTTTATAATGGAGAATCAAGACCGATTCAACTATAAAAACATTTTATTACAAAAAGATATAAAATTTACACACTAAAACACATATAATAGAGAACCAAGAGAAGACAACACATCAAGTCTTGTCAAATAAAAGAATGATTAATTATGTAACGACAAAATATTACTCTCTCAATCTTATTTTGTGTGTCGGTTCGATTAACGAGGTTTGACTGAAGTTATTTGCAATTTAATTTTTCATAATATTAAGTTTAGAATTAATATGTAAAATGTAAATATATATTTAGAAATTAAATTAAACGTCCTATGAAATACAAAAATCAAATTTAAAAAGTATAAGAAAATGCTAATAGAAATAAATAAAGAAAAAATAATTGAATTGATTAATAAATAATAAGTAAAACATATAAAATGAGATGAGTTTAAAAAAAAAACGTTTGTATGCAGACAAATGAGGAATTTTTCAAGCACGGGAGTGAAGTAACACATCGAATGCGCCAGGTGTCAGGCTGATAGGAGTTTTGATTGGGGTGGGTAGGGGGCTCGTGGTCTATGGTGTTGACACTTGGCCGCAACGGAGATTTAGGAGAGAGTGCAGAATTTGGGTTAACGAGAGAGCATATAGTGTGCTATTGCCTATTGGTCTCCTCATGGTCAAGTCTGCTGGTAGGTGAGTTGAGGTGATCGATTGCCTCTACTTTATAGGCTTGAGGCTTTCTTGATATTAGTTAATTGGGTTATTTGGTTTGACTAATTTATAGTCTTAGTTAATTGTATAAAAATGTTTGGTTAATTAGTTGATTACATGTAAAATGATTTTCATAAACAGTTTATCAGAAAAGCTGCTTTGAGCAGCTTTTTGAATTTTAGCATTTTGAAGTAATAAGTTGTTACAAAAATTTAATTAAATTAACACTTATATTAGTTGTTTAACCAAGTAAATAAATTAATAATGGTCAAATAGATTAAAATTGGTCGATAAACTATGTTACCAAACATGGCTTAGATTTCTCAATTTACGCTAAACTATTTTTTTTTCAATTTTATTTTTACGATCACTAGAGGAGATACATTGCGAGTCGTCCAAGCAGTCTTTCAAATAGCCATGTTGTTAACTTTGCTCACAATGAATCTATCTCCACACTTCCACCAATTTGAAAAAATATATATATATATTATTGATAAAATTCCTTTTTCTTGTCACAGTGGTTAGATACATTGGTGGATGCCACTAATGTTGTGTGTATTATACTATTATTACATTTAAAAGATGTATATTTTTTGTAGTAATATATCACATACAATTATAACAATATATTATTTCATATCATTAACATCGCAGATATGATATGATACAATGACCAAACTAATTGTTGAACGACTGTTTTGTTTCATAAAACTTTAATACTAGAGAGGAGTCGAAAAAGAACGTTCGGAATATTTTTACAAAAATATTTTATTAACAGTTTACTTAAATTTATTGATGTTCTTAATTTGAAGCGTTAGTTGTTGTACTTTCAAATAATGATTATAGACATTGATATAAATTAAGAATATACTATGAAACTTTAAATTATAAATAATTAAATCACCTCAATCAATCAAATTAATTAGGAATTTTTTTAACATCGAAAGAAAAAAAAAAAAAAAACAAAAAAGAGCTATACTTATAAAAAGTGGACCCAAATATTTTATACAAGAACTCGAGTACTATCTAGAGAAAACCTACAGTATTGAAAATGAGTTTTTTTCATTTTTAATTATTATTAAGAACACAATATTATTTATCCAAAAAAAAACACACACACACACACAACATTAATCTTCCTAAATCTCAACAGTCTTGTTTTCCGTTTACATCTTCAACTAAAACACAAATCGACAAATGCGACCTATGCAGTGAATTTGATGTAAAATATGTTTTTTTTTTTTTTTTTTTTTTTTTTTTTTTTTTTTTTTTTTTAAGAATAGGAAACAAAGCAATGGATTCAAAACTATTATTTTATCTTTAAAAAAATTATTACGGGGTATTTCTTTAAGAAATATTGTTGTTTCTTATAATAACTAATTAGAGTTTTTTGCACTTTTAGTTTCATGACTATAGTGGCACCGATAGAATTGATCCACGACTTTTGAACCTTGCAATTTTAGTCCACGACTATTGATTTTTTTTGCAAAAATAGTCCTTTCGACCACTTTTCCGTCAAAATTTCACCGGAAAAAAAAATATTTCATTTTTAGCCGGGTTAAAATTGACATTTTACTTATCTCAAAAAATTAAAAGAAAAAAAAATGATATTTGACTACATACAATATTACTGGGCTACATACTACTGCCCCAGGCGGCGGAGTTCCTGGAGCAAGCAAGGCTGTCAGTAAGCGGCGGAGCGGCCGTGGCGTTCTCCGGGCTAGTTGGGCTATCCGGCAGCATTGGAGTGGTACATGTACTCCGCCGCCTAGGGCAGTAGTATGTAGCCCAGTAATATTGTATGTAGTCAAATATCAATTTTTTTCTTTTAATTTTTTTGAGATAAGTAAAATGTCAATTTTAACCCGGCTAAAAATAGAGAATTTTTTTTTCCGGTGAAATTTTGACGGAAAAATGGCCGGAAGGACCATTTTTACAAAAAAATCAATAATCGTAGACTAAAATTGCAAGGTTCAAAAGTCGTGGATCAATTCTGTCAATAACACTATAGTCGTGGGACTAAAAGTGCAAAAAACTCTAACTAGTTATAACAAAGCAGCTGGAGGCTACATTTTGGTGCCTGAGGCCTAGCTAAGAATAAGTGGCTAATTAAGTAGCCGCTAGCTTATCTATATACTGCAACATATATGGAGTGACGGTAGAGGTTTAACGTCAAGTACTATGGTTACAGTAATTTATGTATTATTTTATATTATCTCAGCCACAGACCTATATACACAGTCGACAGTTCAAACATGTTATCCAAACAGTCAAAAATTGTCATTAACCTAGTACTAGTTGCTGTACTACGTATAGTGCTCTAACGTATGACAACCTGACATACAATATTATTGCAAACACGACCAATTATCTTCAGTTTTTATAATGTATTAAATATATTGCTAAAACTTGCACGTACTACACACAGTAATATAGTGCCATAGTGTATACTATTGGCAAATTCTTTCATAAGACTTAAAAAGGGGCAAATTCTTTCATAAGACTTAAAAACGAATCCGCATCCGTGAAGTAAAGCGAGTCAGATTTTTGATAGGGTTATAACACAAGTTGTACTTAAATTAGAGCACATTTTCGATAGTGATTATAAGATTTTTTTCGTAAATCAAAGTATGAAGTTTTTGTTCACTTGATGCAAGTCAAATAGTCAATATAGCGTTGATTGACACATTATATGTTTTTTTTCTATATATTTATGTGTAGTTGATTAATTATACTAAGGGTGTGTTTGATTCAAACATTGAAATCGTAATGGTAATGTGAATCAAATATTTGGTAATGATAATAAGTTTAAGTAGAATGAGTCACTTTGTTTGGTAGTGAAGAGTAATATAATGAGTTTTGTAATTACTAAACGGTTTGATTCCAATAATAGGATATATAATAAAAGTAAGCAAACAAACTTAGTAATAGGTATCAAAACTCATAGTAGGGTGCTCTTCACTGCTGACACCTTCGCTTAGGCTCGCTGGGTTCACCCAGCCCCCTTCATTCCAAAAAAAAAAAAAAAAAACTCATAGTAGGGTGTAAAAGTCTCCAATCAAACACACCCATTATTATAAGTTAATGGAAGTGTTACATTAATGCATTTCATATTACCTGCAAAATTTTCCTGCTAGTTACGTTATTTCAATCATTCTTTCCATAAAGCTTGATTATTTAATTATAGATCATTCTATTTGTATTAATTAAAACATATATAGGCATTTATATATCAATATTAGCTTTCTTTTGTAAAACCGGTTTAGCTAGGCACGCAATTACTTTTGATTAACCCTAATTTTAAATTAGAAAATCAAAATGCAAATGGGTGGAAAGGTGTCCCATACTCCCATAGCCAAGAACAAAACGGGCAACTAAAGAGCATTGAGCCATGAGAAGTATCGATCTTCAAGAAATCAATTAAATTGACCTTCCCAAATATAGCAATCCAATTCCTTTTTTTACCATTACCCATAAAAGTTTAAAATTTTCTCGTTCCAACACCTCACATTTTGATCCTACAGAATAATGAAGGTATATCAGGATGAACCAGCGATCCATTAGGTGGGAGGACCAAGTAGTGTATGATGTGCACTATGAGCCCACCGCACTATGGCGATCAACATCCCATCTTTTGCCATTTTCTACATTCTATTACTTGAAAAACTAATGGGGTGTTTGGTAGAATGTAATTGTAATTCTATTCCTACCAAATCCAGGGAATTGCAATTTCATGAGATTACAATTCTCTCCAACCATGGTATTGCAATGCATATGGTCCCCCTAAGAATTACAATTTCAGACTTTGTGAGATTGCAATTCAATGCTTATGATTATTATAAAAAGGACATTTTAATTTCTATTCACTTCTTCTGTTTCAATTCTCAATCATTATATTCCTTCATAACTAACCATCTTCCATGATATTACAATTTCTTTCACTCATAATTCCCTCGTTTCAACCAAACGCTTTGTAATTGAGGTGTAGGTGCAAATTTTTTCTCCCATTTATAATTAATTGATAATTATGATGAGAATCCAAAACCCACCCACCCCACTCCACTCAGCAGTACAGTGGGCATGATGATGATGAGACCTGCAGGTGAAACGAGTAGTCTAGAACTGAGCAGTGGCGCAAAGAGAGGTAGCTAAGCTAGATTGTGATGGTCATGAATCGATAGATATATGATATAGGAGGAGCAAGGAAGATGATGAGAGATAATGAAGAAGAAGAAGAAGGAGGCGCGGTTGGTGGGTCAGGTAGCAGATGCCAAGACTGCGGAAACCAAGCCAAGAAAGACTGTTCTTTCCTGCGATGCAGAAGTTGCTGTAAGAGCCGAGGGTTTCAGTGCCCTACTCACGTCAAGAGCACTTGGGTTCCCGTCTCTAGACGTCGCCCCAGACACTTGGCTATTCACCAAACTTCTTTCTCCAAACGCACCAGACAATTACCTATACAAACTCCCCCATTTTCAGGTACTATACACCCCTACCTTCACTTCACTCTCTATTCTTATTCACAGCTTCAGATCAGACCATTTCCTTCATACTGTAATTAAAAACCCTAGATTTCATGCCAAAAACAATCAAATCAGTAAATTTCTGGGTTTTGGGTTTTTGCTTGCCATCATTATGCAAGAGTAGAGTTAACCATGCTAATTTTCTCCCGCGACTGTTCAAGCTGGTAGTTTCAATTTCTGTTGATTTGGTTCCAATCTAAAGCGGGTTGGATGAACACCTGAGTTAAGCTAGAAATTCCTAGCTAGGTTAGTTATTATATATACTAAGGCTTGTGAGGAAATGGGGTTTGTGTTTTAATCTGTGGCGGTTGTATGTAGGTTCGGAAGTAGAAAGGAATTTCCCGGCGGAGGTGAGTCTTCCGGCGGAATTCCGATGCGTTCGTCTGAGCTCCGTGGGCAATGAGGTCGACCAGTTCGCGTATCAGTCCACAGTCACCATAGCCGGCCGTGTTTTCAAGGGGATTCTATACGATCAAGGCCCCGAGAGCCGTTACGATGTCACCGGCGAGAGCTCCTCTGCCGGCGTGCAACATCATAATCTAATTACAGCTGCCGCCGTCGCCGACGGTGGTGCAACTACTGCTGCGTCTCCGCATCCTTACCCTAGTCCTTTTAGTACTTTTATGCCCCCCGGTACGCATTTCTTCTCGTACCCAAAATCCTAAGCATAAATGATGTTTTTTTTTTTTTTTTTTTTTTTTTTTTTTTTTTTTTTGGGCTGCATTTAACAAAACAATATATTACACAAAAACAAGGCAAATGCCACGAGAGCGTAGCTGCTTAGTTGCATCTATGGTGTTCTGCTATTCTATAAATAGTTAAATATGTATCTTTTCCTTTGAAAAGAAATTATAATAATTCAAAATTGATCCAAGTGAAATAATTAAATTCGTTAACCGAGGAGGTAGAACACAACGTGTTGTAATTTCAATGTCTCTTGTATCACTCTTGTGTTCATTGTATGCTTGAAATAGTGCTCAAAACCATTACAGAGAATGAGAGAAAAGAGCGAGAGAACACCAAGAAAATTCTTTTCATTAATCACTAATAGTGTATCCTGTCCAAAATCGAGATAACAGTATACAAATAATATATAAGTGGGATTATGGCCACATAAGGGTTATATTTACAACAAAACTATTGTAATTCATATTATGCATATTTTTCTTTTTTTCTGAAAAAAAAAAGAAAAAGAAAAAAAAAGAAGGTACTAACATGGAGGCATGAAATTCATAATTCTTTTTTCTACTAATCTAACCTCGAGTATTGTCTATTAATTAATTTGTCAAATATTGAAATTACATCGGTTACATTATAGGTTTTCAGAACCAAGTAATGCTACAATATCGATCCGGCCTACAAAAATTCGATCCTGACTTAGCTTGTTATATATTATTGTATTAATACATTTAATATTTGATTATAATTAATGTGAAATATTTATATATCAACTTGATTATGGTGGGTTTGACAAATTGATGTGTAGTCAATAAAAAATAATAATTTATAAATAATAATGTTTGAGTAAATATTAATTAATACTCCCTCCGTCCCATTTTGTTTGTCTGGTTCGGTTAACGAGGCTTGACTGAAGCTATTTTTACTTCAATTTTTCATAATATTAAGTTTATTTTTAGTATATAAAATTTATATATTTAGAAACTACATTAAAAGTACTATTAAACATAAAAAATCAAATTTAAAAATAATTAAAAATTACTAAAGAAAATAAGCAATGAAGAAAGAGTTGGATTGACCAATGAATAGTAAACAGGACAGGCAAAATGGGACAGAGGGAGTAATTAATTTTTTGAGTACTACTGATTCACTCTGTTATGATATAGTATCTGTTCATATTTACTTTCTCAACTTATTAAAACACAGAGCTTGAATTTATAATCTCCTATTTAAGAAAGTCACCACATTTCTGCAAATTTTTCTTTTTGAATATATATATTTTGTTTATGAATTCCAAAGCAACTTTTGCCCCCATAATCCGTGTCTTTGCCGACCTAAGAGGCTAAGATGTGTTGCAATATTGATGGACAGACACACTGCAGATGCAGAGCCCTTGGCTTAAATTAGGGCATATTTAATTGTGCATTTGTGCTTTAATTATTACTACTTGTCGTGTCGTAGTATAACTATAAACAATTAAAAAACTTTAATATATTACATGGTGTGAAACAAACCTCGCTTAATACTTGATTGATTCCTCAATTTCTTCCTGTTAACACTTGGACAGAAGTTAAGAAATGATGCAATTAAGGATAGATAATGTTGGCACTGCTGCTGCTTGCCAACTATTATTGCCTACTTCTTGCATGTATAAAGCTCAACAAAGTGCTTACTGCTCCCAAATTGTATCATACTATAAAGTTACATTGCATTATTGTTGCTTTAGGCACATGATGAACTATGACGACTAATCGATCAACCATACTTAAATTAATAGATAATTATCCAAAATATCTTCTTCTTTTTCTTTCTTTCAAATTTGGGAGCCATAACGTAATTAGCCTATTTGGGAAACTTTTAGTTAATTGATTGAGGGTAGTCGTAGTCATGAAAATGGGAAATTAAACGGACAAAATCATTGTCATCCCACTTCTATGGAACACCAATCATTCATCATTAAAATGGAGACATGCCAAATTAGGTATTCCTAGAATATTACTCTTACTTTTCCATTTTACCTGGCCTATTTATTATTCATTTGTTAAACCAACTATTTATTATTTATTCATTTTTTTTTGTTTTGTGTTTAATAGTATTGTTAATGTAGTTTCTAAATATATGAATTTTATATATTAATATTAAATTTAATATTATTAAAAAATTTAGTTATTTAAGTCTAGTTAACCATTCAAATCATATGCATAAAATGGGATGGAGGAAGTATATTATATTATATGGTATTAATATGTTTAACGTACTTGACACTCTTATTAGTGTTTTAGGGCATGCTCTATGTTAATTTACAAGATTTTGAAACTAGCTAGGCAAGCTTTGATTCAAAAATGATGGTAGCTAACTAGCTATAGCTACTTGAGTACTTTTTTTTTTTTTTTAAAAGCTTTTTATTGACGAAACATATGGTGATTAATTTTTTTTTTTTTTAAAAGTAACGGAATATACGTAATAAGTTTTATTTTATTACTTTTATTTTTTTTTTTGATAAAATTTGAATATATATGTATCCAGAAGTTTATTATTAAGAGTAGAAAATTTATTGTTTTTCTGATCTATATACAAATTGAGGCAAAAAGATTGAAGGTAGCTTAGGTATAGGCATCTTTTGTGAGTTTCTTTAGGTGATCGTGACTTTGAAGCAGCAGAAAGCAGAAGTAAGCCACATGTTTAACTTTTTTATGCTAAAGAGACATTCACACTCTCACTAACCAAAGGCAAAAGATTGATGCCACCCCGGCCCATCTATTACACTACATTGGAATATATCCTTAATCATGAGCTTAGTATCCTTATATTTTATCCATTATTGCGTTAAGCTTCATTGCCATACATAACATGTAAAGATGCAACTACGACGCTAGTTTTATATATAGAATGTTGGTACCGTTGGTAGAAAACAAATAATAATTAAATAAAATTGACATTATTTTCCTTGGAAAGAAGGGAAGAAAAGATGAAGAAATTTGGCTAGTGTTTGGTGTTGGGTTTTTGCAAGAGTCGAGTGAGCACTCTTTCCTTAAAACCTTATTTGCCACCTCCCGTAGATGCTAGGAGCGTTGTGGCCTAGGCTTCCCAGGATAAAACTTGCTATGATCCAATGTTTGAGCATTCAAACAAAGGATCCGGCGAGCAAGACAATGGCTATGAACACAGTATAGCTAAAGAAAGAGTAGAAGCAGAGATTTTTTGAAGCTGGAAAAGTAGACTTTCGTGCTGTGTAAAACTGTGTGTTAAACTCTAGGGTTGAAGGAGCCAATAGCCTTTATTATGGCAATTAAAAATGACATTAAAGCTTCCAACAGCTATAACAGCAGGCCACTACTTGGGAATTGAATTCAGAATTCAAAATTGGAATTAATAGAGAGTTGTGCTCTCGGTTCGGTTCTGGCTATACCAGTTGGAAAATAATACCAAAGTTTGTGGCACGGGCTAGCCAATTTCGTGCCCCCAGGTGCCGGCGCACACGAGCTCGGGCTTGAATCAAGCCTTTTTCAATCTCTGATTCGTTGGAATTTGCCCCCCCCCCCCCCCCCCCCCCGCGCGAGAGAGCCTCTATGCTATACAATTCTACAAGCTTCAAAAGAGCTCTTGTATATAAGGGGGGGGGGGGGGGGGGGGGGAATCTTCATTCCAAAGCAATGTGGGACAAAAAGCTCACTTTTTTCCCTTCATTTTCCAACTCAAATGTGTCTACTTTGAGAATCAATATCTCATTCACCCATTATCCGTTTTGAGCGTACAATATATCGATCTCTTCGTCTCACTACGAAGAATCCGAATCCACTTTGACCCGACCCAAATCGAAAGTGGACTCCACTGATAATTGTACCACAAAATAGCCACTTAACATGCCATTTTATGCCATTTTAAGCTATTTTTTCCAACATAGAATCCTCCCCAATTCGGTCCTTAAGAAACTTGGCCCGGGCTCTTGTGCTTTCTTTAAAAAACCTCCCTTTTTATGGATGGGGTTATAACCTTTTAAGGAAGAGGATCCAATCCCACCACATTTCTTTTTATTTTTTTTTTTTGTTTGGTTGGGCAAAAGAAGCATGACATTGGGCGACAATCTTGCTTTATACCCAGCATATAATTAATGATGTCTCTTTACTTACAATATTATATGATTGCACAAGGTACTTCAAAATACACATGCATGTATCTAACCAATTTGTCATATATGGACATATGGTTCAAAATTCGATATATATAAGATACACTCAAGATGTTATTATCAATTATCACTATTACTATTAGTTTGGTGATAAGTGAAACTCACAATCATTACTCGAGGGCGTGCACTAAAAAAACTCAGCTTATGTGTACGTAATATCTCACAAAGCACACAGAATGAGAGACAAATTATAAATAGCACTAGAATCACAATTACTACGGAGTATTAGTTATTTCTCAATGTTCATATATAAATATCTAGGATCTACACAACATGAAAACATGAAAGAAATAAATAATAAAGTATTGATTTTATCTCTTTGAATTTCTTGCTCTCTTATCTTGTCTTTTTTTTTCATTATTTGGTTTAGTTGCCATTCGAAATACAATTATGTTTTTTTTTTTTCTCAAATACATTCTCAAGTTTCTGCTATCACTTGAAGTATATATAGTCAATTGTTGTAACCTTCCAGGCAATAACATATATAGGATCATATTAAGGCCCTATATTTATATATGGAACACTTAATTTTGACATAAACTAATCTGGTGAGTACTCTTGTGGGTGAAATAATGAAATTGTATGAAGTGAATCTTTATATTTACCTGAGATGGGAGACATACTCTTATTAGAAAACCCTAGACCATCAACATGGATACTTGCATATATATATATATATATATATATATATATATATATATATATATATATATATATATATATATATATATATATTGTTGAATCATGCATACTCGTGTTCCTCATTATTTATATATATATTTTGGTTATATTTAAAAAATTTATTTTTCATTGATTCTAACAATATTCCTATAAGGTTATACACTACTTATAAATTGGTTAAATCAAAAGAGGAATGTGATATATCTACAATGATGAGTAGTTTTTCA